ACTAGTGGGACTGGAGCCCAAGCTGTTGAAAGGGGTCCATCTCAACTAAGCTCGACGGGGTTGTAAGTCATATTATATAGTATAATAAAGTATAATATAATATATTAAAGTAGAATACAATATAATACAGTACAATATAGTATAATATAATATAGTATAGTATAATATATTGAAGTATAATATAGTACCCTATTGTATATTGTAACATATTATGTTTAGGGGGCATGTTCCTAAAGACACATGAAGTGAGACTCCTCGCGGAGCACAGCTCCCACCCAAAACCTATCAAGGCACGTCTCAGAATCAGAATAAATATACGCCCAATGATCCACATCATTTCCGTTATCTTTGCCAGTTGATTCTCCATTATTAGGGTACTATGTCCCCCCTATACGCCCTGCCTTCTGCAACCTGAATTCCATTTTCTTTTCCATTAATCCACCCCTAAGAAATCTGGAATGGTAAAGTCCAAGCAATAAGGATTCAAGTAGACAGAGTCGCAATCATAGTCGCTTTAGGGTTTGGGGTTTAGAGCCCATGGTTGTGAGAAACGCCGTAGCAACTGCTCAACCGCAACAGCACAGCCTAAACTGACCAGCCAAACGCACCAACGCGCAACAACCCCAGTGTAGCTTTAACCCCCTCCGAAACCATGCATGTCCAACCCCCTATATCCAAGACCTAGGTGCTGTTATCCGTAAGCCCAGAACCCAAGACCCCAAACCCTCAGCCCTAAACCCTAAACCCCTAACCCTCAGCCCTTCCAAAACTGGGGCTCTCGCAGAAAAGCAGAAGCGGCCAGAAAAGGCAGTCGAAGACTTCTCGAGGACCTTACACGCAGTCTCTTCCTCTAGACAATGAATAGCAAAAACAAAGTCTAGGGTATAGGGTTTAGGGGTTTGGGCATTGAATGGTTTAGGGTTTAGGGATACCCAATGAATATTTTGGAACAGCAACGTCCAGTAATCAAACTCTAGGTCACGGACATGCATGCCAAATAGACTCAGGGCTCGGAAGTCTGCAAATGGGATCTGGGGGTCATCCGCCAACCAAAGTTCTTTGTGGCAGCATGTCAGAGATCATCTTTCTACTGCCAAGAAGGTTTAGGGTTTTGGGTTACCTTACGTCACTTGCACTTCCTCTCAGACTGCCTATGGATGGAGGAAATCTTGCACCACGTGTTCTACTCCCTACCCGAGGAATCACCGCATTTTGGGCATCTTAAGTGGTGCAAGATTTCCTCCACCCGTAGCACCTCAGCCCTGCAGCAGCTCTCTGAATAAGAGGTACCACACTCTTTAACTTCTGGGTTTTCTGCTCGCTATCAGTACAAGAACCGGGGTTTCGGGTTTTGGGCTTATTGGGCGTTACCCTTCCATCGATTAAACGCCAGCCGTAGTTTTACGGGTACACCATCTCTCTTTTCTCGGGCAATGTTTGTAGCAGCTTGTTGAAAGAAATGCCCATGGACAACAAGCCTGGCTTATGCTTCACATGACCACCTGCCCTTTCAGAGCTTCTTGATTTCTTTCCCCTGCCAGGAAGCCACCCTCCTCCGGCTTAGGGGTCGAAAGCTAGCCTAGGATAGAAAAAAAAATAGGGAATTTCAGATACTTAATCCCCCAAACCAGGACCCTATGACTATCAGATGACGAATATAAGGTCCTCATTGTAGGGTTTCGGGATTTTCAATCAGGCGTTGATGAAATGTAGCCCGCAAACGCCAGAAACTCGTCGGAATCTCCCAAACAAGACCTAATGCAGGTTTGGGGTTTAGGGTTACGTACGGGTTTAGGGTTTATGGTTTAGGGTCTCCTGCGACCTAGTAAGCGACTGAAAGTGGGCTTTTAGCCCTGATTCTAGACCTTGGAACCTAAACCCTCAACCCTAAATCCTAAATCCTAAACTGCTACCCGCCAATTAAAAGCTACACTTCCCCGGGAAGCCCTAGGCCTTCAAACCCTCAAGCCTAAACCCTAGACCCTAAACATTAAATAGTAGTTTCCATTTTAGCTTCCGTTATCCCAAGATATTCCCAAAATAATCCCAATATACTACTTTCTCAATATAACCCTAATATAACCCCCAATATACTATAGTAGTTTCCAATCAAAAGCTGTGGTTCCCCTGGGCTCTGAACGCCAGGTGCGAGCTTTGGATTGCCGGAGAAGCGCCTCACCCTGGGCGGACTTCTGCATGGCATTTAGGGTATAGGAGTTTAGGGTTTAGGGTTCTTTGGGTGGTTGTCAAAATTATGAACCCTTTTTGGATCCCCATTTTCATACGGCACCTAATATGTAGAGTACCCCAAAAAGGAACCATAATTTTGACAACCACCCATTTAGGGTATAGGAGCTGTGGCTTCTTGGGAGGGGGTTGGGGTTTAGGTGATTTAGGGGTTTAGGGGTTTAGGGGTTTGGTTGTTTTTTTTTTGGCTTGTTTGGGCTGAGTGGTTAGTAGTTTGTAAGCTTTATGAGCACGAGAGATAGATCAGGCGCTGCTGAGAAAGATTGTCTACAGCATGCTTGTCATATGGTCATATCTAAACGCTAAACCTTAACCCTAAACCCTCAACCCTTTGTGCACTAACCAATGAGCCCTAGCCATCGAACATACTACCTACACTTTCCAGGCACTCCGCATGGAGCCCCTAAACCCTAAACCCTTAAATCTCAGCCCTAAAAACCCGCCCCCTCAATCCTAAAGTCTGAGTTCCTGAACCTGAACGCTGAACCTAACTCCTGAACCCTGGACCCTAAACTCCAAACACTAAACCCTGAATGCGGAATCCTACATCCAATATACCCCCAGTATAACCCCCAAGAAAACCCCAATATACCCCCAATGTAACCCCAATGGAAGCTAAATAGAAAAGCCGGAAATCCTAAATCCTACCCGCTAAAAAACCCATATGACACAGAAGCTCCAGGCCTCCCATCTCGCCTGCTCCCAGTCGTCCTTGCCCCAGGCCTCAAGAGGTTTAGGGCTTAGGCTGCAAGACTTCGCCCGGTTGGCTGCCAGAGTCGTTTTAAAACATTGGCATCTAGGGCTTAGGGGTACACATTGAAACATCCCAAATGCCAATCCAATGCAGCTTCTGACACAGCCCGCGGTTGAGGATTCAGTTTTAGATTGTCAGACCTTTTCGCTGTGTCGCGTGCATCCAAACAGCCCTGCATCCAGGTGTGTTTGGTGAGTAGAGCCGTTGTCTTGCCTCTGAATTGCAAGGAATATACGAATAAAAAGAGGATGGAAAATTACTGGATCAAATGGAAAATCAACTGGAAAATGAAACGGAAGTGGAACGGAAACCAGGGCCACATAGGGCCACGGATCATACGGGGTATATAGAGGAAAGGAAAAGAAAATGGAAGCTCCAAAGTTAATGCGGATTAAATAAAGCCTTCTATAAGCATCGATTTCTTCATCCCGTGCTAACCAGATGCACGTTTATGGATTGGGGGGTCAAGATAAATGTCGGGTTGGGGATGTTGAGCGGGGTCAAGCTGGGTTGTAGCAACTAAGGCTCGAGTGTAAGATCTGGGTGCTTGTTTTCTCGGTTTAAAGCTTGGTGCTTAGGGTTTAAGGCGTAGGCCTCACGCTGTAGGATGCAAGTTGGTGCGCCTCAATGAGATCTTCGGGCTTATGGCTGCGCATATTCAAGAACAAACGCCTCAATTTTAAACCTTAGATGATCAAAATACTAACCGCTCCTTACAAGAGCAAGCACGAGCTACTAGGGTTTTCTGGGGAACTTGGTAAGTATAGGGTTTAGGGTTTAGGGGTCGATAACCCCAATAAGCCATACAATATCCCAACTTCTCTCTACTCACTAAGTCCCCCTGACTCTCCAGGTACCTTGAGAACTGTCACCAAGCTGAATGCACAACTTTGTGTTTTGCCTGGGAGGGTACTCTTCGAAGCGGATCTCTTTTGCTGCTGCCACTGATTGTACAAGAATATTACCTCTGGTTAGCAAGGAATGAAGGCTTACCCCCTATGTAGTCCCCAGTAATGATTTCTATGTTCTTTTCGATTCCTCCATTCCCTGCTAACCAGAGCTAAGGCATTCGGCGGCGCAAGATATGGACTTGCAGCTGTCTTTGGCTGCAGACCAGCAGACATGCTATGAGCCAACAACAGGTCTTGAAGCAGTATAACACAAGACCTAGACAGAAGTGTTATTCCCTAGGATTTCCAGGGCACCCCATATTGTTGAGAAACCCCCACATGGAAGGCTTAGCACTTCACCAGGCCGGTCATGAGGTTGTATTGGCAGCCATGGATTTGGTCGGGACTTTTGACCTCGTCTTGCTCGAGGCAGTACTGAAGCCTGGTGTGCCTTGGATTTGCACTCAAACCCTAAACCCTAAACCCCCCCAAGTTCATCAACATGAAGACTCCAAAAAGGGCCTAAAGGGAAGCTTGAAGGGGTTCCATGCTTGCTTGGGGAAGGCTTACACAGGGAGTTGGGAAGAACGGAGAGAAGGCGAACCCGGGTTTACGCAACTATCCGGAATCATCTCCGCCCGCCTAGGATCACTGCAATTTGAACTTGAACTTGCAAAGGGTGCATGATTTAAGGTTTAGGGTTCAGCACTCTTTGCAAACGTATGTATGTGAAGGTGCGACTTATGGAGTCTAGTCGGCTACTCTCTGGTCCAACCCACTCCCCCACGAATAGACCGGCAAGACATAGAAGAGCGGGGGACTTCATCAGTAGCTTAGGGCTTTGAGTTTGGAGGTCGGAGTTGGGGTTGCAAGATGTCAGGACATGCATGTGCACCTTACATATACACTACCTAACCATGATTGGCCTACCCTAAACCCTAGCTCACTTGTTTCGCCTGCTTTGCCAATGAAGCTTCCCATGCCGCCAGACCATCTCCAATGACCTGCGGCGAGCGGGGTAAAGGGTGCTTTGGTCCCCTTTCCCCAGGCCCTTTGGGCCCTGTGCTCCTGTTTCGAAATAGAGAGCGAAATCTTCCTCCGCTTCTTCTTTACTGCGTAGCACTCGAAAAGGACTCCACGAGAGCATCGGATGCTTCATCCAGTACGCGAATCCGTGAGCGAGTGCTGTCTGAAAGACCAAGAAAAAGAACTTGGGCTGCAACCTCCTGCAAGTAGTATTCCAATGTCTTCGTCCTCGCGCAGCGTCCGCGCCAGGCCAACAAAGGAATGTTCTCTGTGCAGATGTAGAAGTGCGTGGCACCAGAACCGCGTAAAACGCCAGGTGTCGCACCCTGCTGCGCGGCGCGGCATGGGAGGCCCAGTCTTGACAAGACGGCGTCCCACTGCCGACGGAAACTGCGCAGCGAGGCCAGGTACAGCTTCTGTTCCAAACCAAGGCCCTTGTACAACGACTCCAGGAAACGAAATGCACAGGGATCATCGATGCGGCCATGTTGCCTGCGCGCAAACCGTGAGGTCTTTGGGTTCCTGAAGTGCACGAAAAGTGACGAAGTGTAACCAAGCGTGTCCGCCGGGAAGACCAAGTCTTTACGAGTGAGGGCTACAAGCTCGCCAGGGTGCAGCATAGCCAGAAAACCGATCATGACGAGGCCAGCCCACAACTTCCAGTCCCAGAGTAACGCGAGGGCCACGCTGCCACTTTTTGTCCACCTGCCAAGCTTCGGTCAAAAAGTTGCGATGAGCTGGGTATCTGTCTTGAACCGCCGTGATGGCATACACGTACAAATAGCGAGGAAAGCCGTTCTCGTAAAGGTGCAGTCCAAAAGCCCTCGGAGAGCAGTCGCGGTGGTCACACTACTTTCGAAAACAACCTCAGGAGCACAGGTGAGCGTCGCAGCGAGCCAGGCACGAAAGGCAGCGAAGCTCTTCTGCACCTTCTTTGCAGTACTGGGCGCGAAGCCAGCATTCAGGTCAAGCGGCCCACGGCGCCGTTGAGGCGCAGGACCGGGGTTACGTTCGATGTCGCCACCCAACAGCAACAGGAAGCGCAACCACCGAGCGGGGATCTTCTTGATCCTTGCAGACAGCACAACTTTGTCGAACTCCCGGGCGTCTCCCAAGAGTAGTCTCTCGAGCCAACGAGGTTTGCCTCGAGAAGGCAGTGGCACTGCAGAGCCCCGGGACGGGCCGTCGGCCACGTTGTCACCTGAGTAACAGTGCAGCAGACTCGTGTACAAACCGGAACCTAACACGTACCCTAGGGACCCCTGAAGAACCCTACTCATGGCATAACTACTAGAATGACCCTTGGCTGCAGCGCCAATGGTCACACGGGAATCTAAGAGGCCTACCGCGCGGAGGCGCGACCCTTTACGGGCAAAGGACTTAACCCAGCTCTTATAAACCCGGGACTCATTAACATTTATGCCAGGCTTCTTAAAGTTACACCTAAAAAGTTCTCGGAAGTGCAAGCTGCGGCAGATCTCGCTGATCCACTCTGGGTCTTCGAACCACTCACGTTCAGGGAAAGACTGAAGGCCAGCTTCGCGCACAGGAGGCAAGTGATGTTGTATCGGCAACCCGTACCTAGGACCGATTGTGTTGAGTTGCTGGCTATCGATGACCACATTTGTATCCAAAAGGTTAGGATTGTTGACCTCAGCAAGCGCTTGCCGGCACGGAACACCCAGATCATGGACAATGCTTCTCGGGCATATCGCCAAGTCGGCCTTGTGCTCAACGATGACAAGAAACGGCGCTTCAAAACCTCGGGCGTGCGGTTCGGTGCTGAGCTTGACGGCATAAAGGGGATCGTCAGTCCTCCTCGCATTCGCGTTTGGTCATTAGCTGTTTTGACTGCAGCGGTTGCTGAAAGGGGGACTGCCACTCGCGAGCTTTTGGAACGCCTGCTTGGTGCTGGGTTCACTCCTTGATGTTTAGGCGACCGATTTTTGCAGTTGTCGATGCTTTGTTCCATGAGGGTCAGGGTTTGCCAAGACATCAGTTGTTCACGCTGTCCAATCAGTCCCGAGATGAGTTGCTGATGCTTTGCAGCCTGTGCACATGTTTGCAAACTGATTTGAGAGCTGACTACGATCCCTCCTTGTATTGCATGGGTGCTTCACCTCACGGAGGCACCGTGTGCTCGGCTCAGATTGGCGAAGCTGCTTCCTTTGAATTGTGGAGACATGGGGAGTTGCGGGGTTACCGCACGCGTTTGCAGTCCGAAGTTTCCAGCATTCTTTCGGAAAAGGGAATCCCCAACTTTGGCGCTGAAAGTTTTGGAGATCATAATCCCGTCCCGAACCCTTTTAAGCCAGTGCTGCATTTTGCTAATTCCGTCCCCGAACCCCTTGAGGAAGGCATTCTCTTTGATTGTGTCGAGATTTTTCGAGGGACAGGAAATTGGAGCATGCGCCATCAGAACGCAGGGCTTGTGGTTCACGCAGGTTATGATCTGAAAGGGCCCGATTGCCGTCATGTTGATGTGTTGGATGGCCCCATTCGCCGAGAGCTGGTTGCACTGGCTTTGAGACGGGTGGTTCGGGAGTGGCATGCGGGTGTCCCCTGCGTGTCCTTTGGCACACTGAGAAGGCCTCGCGTGCGCAGCCGCGCCCAGCCTGCGGGATTTCAGCCTGACGATCCATTCACCCGTGCGCACAACAGCCTGGCCCGGCTGGTAGCATTCGTGTTTTGCATCGCGGTTCAGTTTGGCCAATTCGTTTCCATTGAACTGCCTGCGGGTACATCGCTTTACCATTTGCACTGCTACCGCGTGCTTGTGACTCTGGGCTGCGTGGTCAGCACTTTCTGTTTCTGCAGCTTTGGGTCACCCTGCTTGAAGCGATCCCGCTGGTTGCGCAACAAACCTTGGCTTTGCAGACTGGAGTGCTCGTGCACTTGCGGGCGCAGTCGGCACTTTGAGGTGCGTGGCACTTTTACTGCTGAAAGATTGGCTGAGTTTCATGCCTTGGCAAAACCATCCGTTGAAGCTGTGTATGGCCTGTGAGCCCGAAGCTTGGTCAGTCGGTTGCCGAGTTCAGTGGTGCGTACCCGCTACGTCTGGCGGCCTCCATGGCCAGTGGTTCCCTTGCTGCTTCGCGCGGCCACACAAAGAGGACGCCACTGTCAGCACGCGTCCGCGCTGCACGCTGGCTGGGCACAGATCCCGAAGAAACCCATAGTGCGCAGCTTGACCTACCTCGACAGCTAGGGAGTAAAAGTATTCAAGGAAAGAAGCTGAGGACCCTCCATGCCGACACCGGATGCACACTCGAGATGAGCCAGCTCTGCTGGCTGGAAGCGGCAACGAATTGAATTCCGAACTGCTCGGCTTGGGCTTATCTTGAAGGTATAATAGTAATCGCTAAGGTCATCGGCAGCACACCTAAAGGACATGCCGGGTTCAAGCCGGAGCAGCGTCAAAAGGGAGCCAGGCGCAAGGGTGCGGGAATAATGGGTGATGGTATGCGACGTAGAGTTGGCAACTGTGGGATTCATGATCAACCTATCATGGGCAGCGCTCTTGCTGACACTGAACAAGCCAACACACTCATCCCAAGGCAAGGCAGTAGCAGGAGTGACCCGAACAGCATTCAAACTATGCCACTCAGAAGCCATACGCAAAAGCTCCTGGCGAGAGCAGTGCACTTTGGCTGCTGGAAGGCCACTGGCTTTTAGCTTTGCGAAGCACTGCCGGTTCTTCGTAAGCGCTACTTAGAAGGGGTTCCAGGAAAGGCTTTGGGTCAAAGGAGGGGGCGTACCGCCATTTAATCCTATCAGCAACCACCGGCAATGCTGTCGTGCTCCGAAAGTTGATAAAGCGCGGCTCAGGGCCGCCTTCAGGCTGACAGGAAGCATGGCTAGGACGCTCTGGTTCAGACCCCGATTTCCCATAAGGATCGAAGGACGCATGCAACACCGAAACCCAATCACAAAGGTCCTGACCCCTAAGACTACCAAAGGGTAGTTCCTGAAGCAGCTGGGTAAGTGAATTAAATTTGTCAGCGGAGAATTCGGGCATGGCTAGGGGGGTCCTTAGGGTACCCTAGGCCTTCCCAATTCAGGGCGCAGACTGTGAGCTGAAGCAACCGATTTTGGACCCCGAATTATAAAAAGCATCAACCATACGGGAGGCGAGCTTGACAGGGTCGCTCAGCACTGTACATTGGGGATCGAAATCAGGCAGCTTAGGGGAGCAGTGCTTATGGGAAAAGGTATTACCACCCCTAGGCCCTGACCCTGAACTCACGCAGGTGGAGTCTCGCCGCCCTTTTGGCGGCCGCCGCGCCGAGGTCTGCGCGCGGGCTCTCCGTCTGGGCCGTTGTCGGGGGTCGGCCCTTTCCGCCTATCTGTGCCACGCGAGTCTCGGCATAGTCGAGGGGTCGACCTTCAGGTAAGCTAGGTTCGCAGCCAGCCATTGCGGCGCACACAGCCGGCTGAACGGTTTCAATCCAGGAGCTCGCCGCACTTGCCACATCTGGGGAGCCGGATCTGGATATCCACTCAGCAGCCACGCTAAAGACAGTTTCCCGCTGTCGAGGGCGGCTTGCTCGGCAAACACTAGAAGGCGACTGCAGAACCTCTGCAGCTCCTCGTTCCCGCATTGATGGCCCGTCTCCCAGCCTGAAGCCGCCAAAGCTGCTACATGCCCCAGCAACCGATGCTCTGCAAAAGGAACTCGCTGACTCACATAGGTTCTCATCAGACCTGGTTCCGAGGAGCTGAGGCCTAGTTCCGACAGAGCGTTGTCCTCCACGACCCGAGCCACTTTGCGCAAGTTGGCAGAAAAGCTTCGCGGGCCATGTGCCCCTTGATTCCTGAGGATGAGTCGGATGCGCTTGGCCCGCCGCCGAGGGCGGCCTGGAAGCTGTCCTGAGGTCGGTTCGACGCAAGCTTCTCCAAAAAAACCGCGTTCGCCAACAACAATCCGTCCATTGGAGGCAATGCTTTGAACTCGCTTTCCAGACGCAAACCAGGCGCCGGGTCCGCTCGCTGGGTCTGCTCCACACGCCCTGTCCGAGCCGGAGGTGCGCCGGCTAAGCGCCAGCTGCTCCCAGTCGGCTGCGCTCATCCGGCGCCCTTGGTTGAAGAGAGCCGCATTCTCCTGGGCGCGGGGGTGTCATCCCGGCCCCCGCCGCCATGTCCGGCGCGCGGCCGCCAGTAGTTGCAGCCGCCGGTTTCGGCAGAAGTTCCGCGTCCCTCGGGTATCTCTGCCGCAGAGTGATACTCTTGAGCAGTCTCCGGGTCCAGATCGTCTATCCAGTTGTACGCAGCCTGCAAAGCATCTGCGCCCCGGGGACGGGCAGCTGTACCATCTACCTGCAGCACAGTGAGTCTTTGCATTGCAAGGATTCCCAAGGCAGGTCTACCAGCAGCAAAGCTCCGGGCCCCAGCTGTCGTCCTCGAGCAGTTTCGCAAGGCAGCTCTGAAGCGATAGACTTAAGAAAACCCCGTCCGCACTCAGTAAGGTGCTCAGGAAGTCGGTGACCACCTCGACGTCTGGCATGCAAATCATAAACCCATTGATTCTGCACATCAGGACATAGCAGGCCACAAAGCGAGGAGCCCCATCGTCGCCGGCTTGCTGGCGCAGATAGATTCTTGGCAAGGGTCGCCCTTCCAGAACCTGTCCCACTGCAGTCTCGAATTCCTGGCGAGTCATTGCTCGCCTCATCCTTTCAGAGCCGGCGGTCATCCTCGGCCGGCACCCAAGAGATATGCGTCACACTCTGCCTGGCTGGGGAACGAATGGCAATAGGCCTTCTTATCGAAGGGCTCGCCTGAAGCACCTCGAACCGCAGCTGCAAACACACTGTACTTGCGAGTCCACCCCCCTTTCGGGAAGCGAGGCGAAGCAAGGATCAAATAGATGGTGTTCTTCAGTCCAGGCAGTGCCGGCGTAGGCAGCGGGCAATACACAGACTGTTCCAAGCACTGACGCACTGAAAGACCAGCTCGGTAGGCTCGGGCTGCTCGGGCAAATGCTGTCCAGTCACCTCTAGAGGTCAGGAGTCGAGCAAATGGTTCCACCTGCAGTAGCTTCAGAGCACCAAGAGCTTAGGCAGTGTTGGCTTCCAGCACTGCACTGTCTGAGGCTTGCTCCGAGGAGGCCTCCGACGGGGGGTCAATCACCTCGAACCCCAAATCCGGATCCGCACATCCAACGAGCTGAGCCTGATGACCCAGCGGTGCGGCGGACCTCTATCTCCAGGTCCCCCACTCTCACGGTGATGCGTTCAATGTCCCGCTCTAGCTCGCTCATGCACGATGAGGGCGGCGGTACTCCGCCAGTCGGCCGCGACCAACACGATCCCCAGCCTCAGGCAGAACCCAGAAGTCGAAGATAGCCGCTCGGCCAGTGATTAGCAGAAAGCGCCTGAACGCGCTCGGGAGCAGAAGGCAGCTGATGAAAGCACCACAGCACAGTCCAAAGGTGAATACCCCCAGAACCGGATCAAAAAGCCCCAGGGCGTCGCAGGACAGGGTTGGCTGCTCCAGCTTGACAGAAGTTGCCTAGCCTCGAAGAGCACAGGAGCCCATTGCCCGAGTGGCATCGACTCCCAAAACTTGAGCAGCATTAGCCGCGCGAACACTCCACTGCATGAGATACTAGGCAAAGCCTGAACCTTAACCCTAAAGCCTAAACCCAGGACCCTAAACCCAAAACTCTGTTGAAGCCCGAACCCTAAACCTCCCATCCGGCCAGGGAGACAAGTTTCCTGTAGATCACATCATCACGCAGGGCCGCTTCCAGGCATGACTCATCTGGACCAACCACGCACCTCGGGTCAATCCCCCACCCAGTAATGGGTACCACAAGTGACTATTGTAGGTATATTAAGGCCCTAGTAACTGCATGTCAAGGAGTTATGACTATAGGGGGTATTGACCTAACCCACACCTTTCACTATCTCAACAGGGTAGTTAGGGTGTAGGGTTGAAAGTTTAGGTTTTAGGTAGGTCCGGGAGGGGAGCTTACGTGAGAGTATATCGTGGTATAGTCCTTGCTTAGGGACTCCGCAAAAAGGGTCCCTCAAACCCATGTTCCCCAATCTATCCCTCTGTAACCCCCACGGTGCCCCGACAAGCCCGCCCCTTAAACCCTCACAAAACCCCCAACCGTATGGTACACCTGTTGAAATCATTCTTCAGCTTTGGAAGTAGAACCCCAGACCCTAAACCCTAAACCCCAAACCCTCCCCCATGTAACCGATATGGGGTTTGCAGCCTAAACGCTTAAGTCTGTGTCAAGCCAAGCACTCCAATTCGCAATGGCCACGCCCAGGCTGGAAGGTCCTTACTTCATATGAGCTGTAGTCTAAACTCCTTCAAGGGGGGGTATATAGGGGATTATATTGGGGAGTACTCTTGGGATAATTAGAGGGCATACTAGGAGTTTAGACTATAGCTCATACAGTCGTTTCCATTTTCTTTTCCAGTATCCCTATATAATCCCAATACCCTATAATCCCTATATATCCCTATGTAACCTCTATATGAGGGACATGGAAATGGTTGGGACCTTTTTACTCGGACTTTTTTTCCGTCCGCCGGCAAGCGTCCAGAATGAGGGTCAGGGCCAGGAAAGGATTTGGGATTTGGGGTGTGGGGTTGGGGCTTTTGGGGCTTAAGGGCAGCACAACTTTGAGAATGTCCGGCAAGAGCTGTTTCAGCACTGTCTGGCGTTTTTCGTTTCCTCACTTTTCTTTCGGTGCAGCAGAAAAGCCCATGCAGTTCAAGCATTGCTGCTAGTACTTCCTGCTGCCGCGGCTGCTGCTCCTCCTGTTCCCACGAAAAACTCATGCAATCCATACTAGAAATAACTAAGGAGCCCGCACACAGTGACAGTCCAGAATCAGCCCTGCAGTACAAACCCTAAACACAAAACCCCATACCCACCATTAACCTTCCAGAAAACTGGTAGCATACAGGGATCATCCCTCCGGTCTAGGTATTTGCCCCAATATAAGGGTTTCCCGAAAATTAGGGGTACAGTTTTGGGAGTCCCCGGAATAACAAGGAGTACGGTATTTTGGGGTAGAAATACCGTGTACCGGTTAATCTATCCGAAAAGCCGGATGAATCGCCCATCTTGAAAACCTCTCAATACAAGTTTTACACTGACCCTAGAACGCTAATCCGTGTGCCCGAAACCTACACTCTCACCAGACAGCCCAAACCCTAAATCCCACACAGCATGTCAATTCGGAACTGATGCTGTCCCAAGATGAAGCCTTTAAAGCCTGTGTCTACGCCCAACAGAACCCTTCTCCCCACGCCTGGCAGACTTGAGCAAGCCTGTATAAGCTCAAAACTTCTGAAACCGCTGATCCCTTAGCCATATGAAATCCCGACCTAAACACGAAATCAAGAAAAAACGAGCCTAACCCCAAACCCTAGTCGAAGCATGGCGTCCGATTGCCATCCAACTCGATCTTGCCTCCATTGCTCATCGGGTTCGGCACCACGCTGCTGTCGAACCAGAAATTTGGCAGCTTGACCTAAGTTCAAGGTTGTAGGGTTTGGGGTAGATATGTATGCCAAACTTGGGGCTTCATGTGGGGTCTAAACATGCGAGGATACTAGCAGCTCCCGGAGGGTGAACTTGAGATGCTGCTGCAAGATCGGGTCAGAATGCCATGGTCCCGGCCTATTTAGTCCCAGCATTTACCAGTGGTTCCTATATGATTTTGCATACTGGATGCGTTATCACGATGATGTTCAGTATGAGGATGTCCCATCCCCATATTGCTGAGGAGCTTCTCGCATCCCAGCTGATGTGCCAGCTGAATCCGTGAACTGGTCACCGATGCTCATAGCCTGCTGATTCAAGGCTTCGAGGTTTAGGGTTGGGGGTTGCTTCAAATCAGTACGCCGGCTACAAATCAGTACGCCGCCTCGAACGCATAGCCCTTCGCACCCTGAAAATATGAAATAGCAGTGATATTCTCGTGGGTTAAGCACATCTGAAAAAATCTACGTAGGTTCTGGGGCCGCTCTTTGCGAACCATCATAGGTCGCAGCCCCGGCTCCACGAAAAAACTCAAGCGTGGCTCAGGCACTCCACAACCTACACCCCAAATCGCACCATTGATACCAAAAATCTGCACCACCCCAAGTATCTGATACCCAGGGAAGTGTGGCATTACAGCATAAGGAGGTCTTGCAGGGTTTTCATGCCAATGAATAGGGGTTGAGATCTTGGAGCTCTTTGAAGGTCTCGTTTGACCAGCACCCAGCCAAGCACACCCTCCCTTGAAAAATTGCCATGTAACGAAACAAGGATTTGGGGATTCCCCAAAATCAGGGGTGCCTTTTTTGGGGGTCCCTAAAGATTCTAGTAGTTGGAGGGTGAGGGTGAATCAGAGGCCTTAATTATTACCAATATCATCTTTGGATCTGTTTGAGGTACTGGGACCACATTGTAAGTAAATCACACAGGCTTCTACATGTTGGGCAGCAAAGTTAAATCGTAAATGGACAGAAGGAATTCGAATCATTCAGCACCAAGACTGAAGCTGGCCGACTCTGTCGATAAATGGGCGAGGAACACACGACTGCTACGGTGATCATGACCACTGCGGCTATCACTAGCAAAACGACTTAAACGGAAGCTTACAACACAGCAGCTCCCAAAAAATGCCATGTACATCATAGTTACATCTTTTCAACATACTCCAAGTTACAGAGTCCTAAACTCAACACAGAAGACAGCAAGTCCCAAGGCCAACTGAGGCCCACGCCCAGAACACGTTTTGGCGCTCGCTGAACCACTTCCGAAGGGCTGCTTTGTAGGCGAGGGAGCACCCCCTCGACTGGCAACCGCCAACTCCACCTGGAAAACAGAATCATAGGTTTAGGGTTTGGGGTAAGGGCTTAGGGTTAGGATTTAGGGTTTAGGGTTTAGGGTTTAGGGAATTAGGGTTTAGGGAATCATAGGTACTGGTGATGATGATGATAATGGAAATTCCTGCCTGACCTCAGTATACTTTAGTACCATACTTCCCAAGGAATAGGGTACTTAGGTTCATGCAGGATTTTAGGATCCACCATAGCATGCCATAGCACTGGCAATGGTGATAAGATGTAGATGTTTAAACAGCTTTAGGGATCCTCGCTACATTACTGTTCTCAAAGTGGGCAAAACAGTACTGCAATGGGAACCAAATAGGGACCCCTATTTTCAGGATACTTGGTAGCTCTAAAGTCAAGAGATACCACTGGGGGAGCCCGAGCAATCCTGGGCATCTCTCAAAATCAAGGCACCTTTGCGGGCCTTAAGGATCATCTGGTGGATGGAAGGTGATTAGGAGGGGCTGAAATTAGGAAATGCTTTGAGAAGCACCCAGATTACGGTCCAGCACAAAACCTAGTTGCAACTTTGTATCACGCGACGCCTCAACCCCAAAACACCGCAAACCTTAAACGATTGGCCTGTCATGAAGACGTGGGAGTCAATCCATGCAGGGCTCACCGGCAAGTTGTCTGCTACCCAGATCCCCGTAGCTGCAGCCTTCAATCGTGTGCAGTATCTCGCAGTGAAGAAATAGCACTGAAATGGAGCGCTGGAATTCTCGGAGAGCCCACACCATCTCTTGACAAAGCTGATGGCAGCGGCAAGCGCAGGTGCCTTGCCCACGAGGTCAGTGTCATTGAAGCCTGTGTATGCTAGAGTGTTGTCGACGTCGAACATGATCGCAGGAGTTTTGTGCTTTGGCAGAATTTCCATCAAGTTGCCCAGGCTTTGCGAGCTGCGTTATAGGATGCCTGCAAGTCTTGTGCAAATTGCGAGTCCTCGCCATAAACCACATAACTGTAGTTGGCAAGGTGAACTTCAGGTTCATGCCGCGGGTTGGTAGCCTGTTCAGGTGTCCGGGCAGCGATCTCATTTCGGCAATGCTGAACGTTTCCCGGCATAAACTGCTTTCTGTCCAAGTGAAGGTCCTGCACTGTTTGCGGCTGGCTGGTGAAGTTAATGTAGAGCCGCAGGATATACTCATACTTTGACTTCCAATACTCCACTTCCTCCTTCAGCTTTTCAATCTCCTGGCGCTGTGCTTTTGCCAAGAGACTTGCCTGTGCATCATCAGATGTCACGTCATCCCAGCGCAGCCTGTAGGAGACATGAAGCACAAAAAACACAGCAGGCTTGTGGCCGCCGGTGACCATAGCGACCCTCGTAGACATTGCATTCGAGTTTGGTGAGTTTAGGGTTTAGGGTTTAGGGTTTGGGTGGGGTAGGGCAAAGCCGGGAAAGTATATTTCTCGAGCCACGTAAGCTCCCCACCACAGATCAACTACTGTGACGGAGCCTCGCAAGCACAAGCAACGTCTACAAGTCGGGAACAAGACAGGCCAGACTTGAGATCCCGACCATTGGCGGAGAGAACATGTGTCCAAGCTCAACGGTCCACGACTACCTGCGATGCGGCGGCCATGTAGTTCGCATCTTACCCAGCCAGTGGAGACTACCACGCATGACTTGACTGAATTCGACCCACGACGAAATTTCTGAGTCCCAGTCCAATTGCTGGCCATATGGGGGTCTCCCAAAATTTGGGGTACGTGTTTGGGCATCGTGTTAATCGGGATTAATCTTTTGGGTCCATATTGGGATCGCCCTATTTATGGAAGCTGCCATATCTTCACAAACCTCCCAACGCCTTTACCATGAAACGCATTAAACCGAAGTCTCCCTTGGCCATGCCGAATCAAAAGGGCAGTAATAGCAGCGACATTCGCCAGTTGCATGGAACTGCCAAGAACCGTGATGGTGAGAATGCTCAGGGATGATGGCAATCATGTCGCAGAACGGTTGAACTTCTTAGAAGCAGATTGAATGAAATAATCCGCCTACGCCCAACTAATCCTGCAGAAAACATCAGTATCACAGGTAAGACATGCACAGTACGGTCACCAAATTGAACACATTCAAGAATGCCCACAACAATCCCAAACTTTAATCATAGCCACAGAAGAAAAGCTGATAGGTGCTCGGACTGCGCTCGGCTTAGGCAAATCTTGCGATTCCTCCCCTTGCCCCCCACCCTCACTCCCTACGAACATGTTGCATCAACTCCCTGACCCCGAGACGCCCACACACCTTCACCGAGAACCTGCACTTGAGTATACATTATAAGGAACACAGCTAACTCCTAGCCGCTTTTGCCCTACTTGATCCTACACCACTTCTAGCATGATGGAACATCATGCTTACAGGGCTTTCTGCCATACAAGGCCCTGCAGAATTCCACCCTGCAACAACAATCATTGCTGCTCAGATTTATCATCTTCTACGCGTACAATCGAAAATGTCCAACAGTTCAGTGGGGCTAGTAACAGGAAATCCTACCATGAGTGGCTGGACAGTTGTTCCTGGGCAGAAAACCAACAACCTGAAATCGTGGGACCGATCATCAAACAAGCCAGGAGCCTCTGCATTAAGCGGGGCTCCCGTAACCTCTTTCCGGGCACCTTGTGTCGGGCAGGCAACTACAGCTAGACATAGACATCATGTAGGTCTATGTAGGAGGGTTCAAAATTCAAAATTCAAAAGTGGCCAGCTTTTCAGCATTTAAAGCTCGGCTGGTAACCGATATGGAAATATCGGGGAAGGCTTCAAAGACATTGCACATATGTGGACATGAGGGTGATCCAGGATTATGCAAGCAACTTACAAGTACGCGGTTTGTGGTTTGAGGTTTTGGTGTCTCGGAGAACGGATCAGCCCGTCACAAAACAGATTCCAACATCTCAATCTGCGTATGGGGATGACTAGCTTGGTTAAGCCTAGGTGGACCCCCACACAGAAGTAGTGATTATAAATAATAATGGTGATTATATTAGGGTCCTCGTATATTCCTATAACTATGCCATTACAGGGTGGAGGGTCCACCTAAGCTTAGGCTCGAACGACGACTCCGATTTCATGGTTCACATATTTCAGTTCTTTGAGCTTAGAATGTAATACCTATAAAATTCCGAATCATGAAATACTTTCCGTTTTGTTTCCATTCCCTACAAACCTTGAACCCTAAATCCTAAGCCCTGCAACCCATTATTATAGTTTCCATTTTCCACTATCTCTATAAAACCCCCCACATACTATGGTAGTTTCCATTTTCTTTTTATTCTCCCTAAACCCTAAACCCTAAACCGTAAATCTTAAACTCTAAACCCTAAATCTTAAACCCTAAACCCTAATAGTAGTGGAGGTCGGGCTGAAGCCTTGGGCCTGGGATTGCCAGGTTGACTGGAGTGGATGTTGCTGAGAAACACCCCTACACCTATTTCTCGCAGCAAATCAGAATTCAACTCATATGAGCTGTAGTCTAAAGTCCTAATATTGCCCTGAATAGACCCCTTTGGTAGTCCCATCCCCGATATGACCCCCGTTTAGGGAGTTTACACTATAGCTCATATGAACACCAGTTGCTGCTGCCCTCTCCAGTGCCCAAAGAATGAAAAGCAGCTGCAGAAAGCATAAGGCTGGCATAAGGCATCTACGGAAGAAGGGTCTTTAATGCCAGCAGAGCCTCCCCGAACATCATTTGGGGGGATGGAATTGCTAAATAAAGCCTGAACCAGTTTTCTTACAGTCCAAACTACCATGGCCCTGCCTCATTATTTGGTACGGCACAACAGCGCACAACCCGAAAACCTCAAATCGCGTCACCGGAAATGTGAAACAATCTCCTTCCCCTAAACTCTCACACCGGTAGCCTTCAACCTCTACACCCTGAAAACAAAATCCCTAAACCCTACATTCCTCAAATGGCAAACCCTAAATCTTGGGTACTGCCCCCACTCAGTAACAGTTGAATAATGTTTATAATATAGTTATATATAGCCCTTAATAGGACCCCTCATACAGACTGTTACTGGGTGGGGGCAGTACCCAACCTAAATCCTTAAATCGTCCTAAAAGTCCTGAAGCTTAGGTTGGCGCCTTTGGTTCTCACCAGCGGCGCACGGGCTGGAGCCAAATGGTTGCTTGCGTCGCGCGATGCCCGCTTTTAGGGTTGGTGTCTTGAAGTTGAAACAAAAACTACCAAACGGTTTCAGGGTACAGGATATTGGGTTTAGGGCGTATGCTTACGGGTTGGCCGGCGTCTCAAACTCTACATCCTTAGCCAGGGGCCCTTTCCTCTGTTGGCAGGAAGCCCTCCATGCAGCAATGCACTTGATGGACAAAATCTTGCATGACCCTTAAAATACTATACCATCATATACCATCATGATTCCAAGGAACAAGGAAAAGCGGTCATGCAAGATCTTTTAAATCGATCCTGGGGCATTTTGCAAGCACAGGCCAACCTAGAACACCTTGCGACGCTGTTTATGCCGCTTTCACGCACCTTCATTCCAATGGACCGTGCGACTAGACAAAGTCCAAAAGCGTAAGAAGAATGAGGTATCCTACACTTCAGAGCATTAGAACATAGACCTTAAGGCACGCAGCACAAAAACGATTACATTAAACATACAAAAATGGCAGCAATGCCTATGCATTAGTTGTCACTGGATGGTTCAAGGAAAGAGGGCCGTAAAGGCAAGGACTTCGTGTGTGCCCTTGGCCCCCACTAAGACAGCAAAACCTTCGCAAGCTTGGGCAAGATCCAGGAAGTAAGCTGGGATGGCTGAATAAGAAAGTCAGCTGGGAGACTTGAGCTGCGATCATTAGGTCGGAAACTACATTAAGATGTGGGTGAAATCTCAGGGCTATGCTTACTGATGTGGATGTTAGCAACGAATTGAGGAAGGGATCACTGCAGTAGCCCCATAGCATCACAGATAACGCCGCTGGGAAGTAGACATGAGGAGCCTACATCCAAGACCTAGGCAGAAATCGCAAAGGAACAGCGACGGCAGGCATGACAGAGTCTTTAGAAATCTGCAGAGTTTGAACAGCTTTTGGAGATTGCTCTCACAGTAGGCTGAGGAAACTTGGACCTGCACCTCTAAGAGCGCATAACCTACAAAGCTTCATCCTCGGAATCAGTCCATGCGTCTGCGCCAGAAAGCTGATCCAGGGAGCCAAAGAAAGCATGTAGGTCCCTGAGGGTATGAGTATTTCATCCGTCACTCATACTACACATGCCTCACCCGAAGTCCTGCTAGGCATGTATGTAGGTACGTCTCGAAAATGAGGATCGGCGTTCAAAACCCCAAAACGATGGAATCCTGAAGGTGTACCCAACGACGGGACCCATTCCTGGCAACAACGAGCAGTGACTCTCCCCAAGAATCCTGTCCTTTGAGAAGCAAAAGATCTTACAAGGGTGCCGATCAACTTGTGCTGAACAACCTCAACCCAAAACCGTAAACGTGAAGCTCTAAACCATACACCCTAAACCCTGAGCCCCAAACCCTAAGCCCTAAAGCTTAAACCCTAAACCTAATGGAGGGATTAGGTAGGCCAAGTCCATTGAAGCATTAGCTGGTTGGGCAACCCTGCAAGATGGGGATTGTCAAACATTCGGTCCTTTGCCTTCCAAAAGTTACCATTCGTCTAGTGATCCATACCCCCACTCCCTAAGCTTTGGAGGCTTCTACCAAAAGATTACAACTTTCTAATCATATGTAAGGGGAGAAATATTTTGGAAATGCCCATGCAGGGTCCCTGCTAACCACTCAGGGAGAATGAGGAATGCACTGCCTGCTAAGGGTGGAAGCTCAAACTTAAAGGCTCCCTGGCTTTGCACGTCAGAAGCAGCACCCGTGCCTCAA